TCACCCAATGAATGAGAAATATTTTATTTCTATTTTTTTTCATTTTTAGGACCGTGAGAAGGACCTTCTGTCTCAGCTTGCTGCAGTCGGTAATGTCAGCAAAGGTGAATTAAACCAGATGGTTCACACTGCTGTGGAAGGTACATTTGACTTTTTCTCATACCAGTACATATTATTGCAGATATAAATGTTCTTATTGCTCATTTTCAAATGAAAACCACCAAGATTTTGATATTACTCTGGATTACAACTGATTACCTACTTAATATTGTTGATTACCATCAGACTTCTGTCTACATTCCTGACATACTTACGCATGTAAATATCTTTAGATTGTAGACAACAGACTGCAGGTAATCAACAACACAAATTTGTTTATTTAACTTAAAAATGTCATGTTGTTCCCATGCCAACAGAGAGTGGTGGTGATGAACGTCAGTCACGAAGATTGACGAAAGATTTAACACAAAGAATGAAAAGCGCCAAATCACGTGGAGAGTTAGACTTTGATGAAGATGAAGAAGGGCTTCGTAGATCTAAGAAGGGAAAAAAGAAGAAAAAGAAAGTGATTGAAGATGATGAATATGAATAGTAAAAAAAAATCTACTGTTGCCGGATCTTCCATCATTAAATCCCAATATTCCAGGGATACGAAAAATAAAATGAATCTACTGTTAGGTTGCTGGGTGGTCAAAGTTTTCCAGGATATGTGGATTACTTAACTACAGATCAAAAACAATATGGCTGTAACATTTTGACATTTTTGCATACTGTGTACAGAATCAAAAACAATATTCACCATTTTATTTATAAATTAGATCTTCTGACCTCATAATTTGATAAAATTTTAATAAATTGGCACATTATATTTTTGTAGATTTGTAATTTATCTCAATTTTTTTGTCTTGATTTGTTCTTAATTTTTCAAATGCATTTTATATTCTTTGTTTTTGAATACATTCCAAATTTCTATGAAAATCTTTAAAATTACTTATAAAATATCTTTATATAATGTATTTCTCAGATTAAAAAATTCCTATATTCTTAACTATTTTCTTATAATAAATAAATATCACAAAGTTGTAACTGTGTTCATCTGTATCGACAAATCATAAGAGGTATTACCCATACATTCACTTGACCAATCATACATAAATTTGCATAAATTTTGCTGTGACCAATTATACATGAGAGATTATCTTCCTGTTTTCGGTAATTTGCATGCTAATGATGAATAATATGTGGAACTAAGTACTAAGTGTGGTGTTTACAAGATTAATTTGTACTAAGTGTGGTGTTTACAAGATTCATTTGTACTAAGTGTGGTGTTTACAAGATTCCTTTGTACTAAGTGTGATGTTTACAAGACTCATTTGTACTAAGTGTGGTGTTTACAAGATTCCTTTCTACTAAGTGATGTTTACA